TTCTTGCTCGAGTTCTTTCCTGCTTTATGTTCCTCAACGGCCCGGTCTGATTTCAGCTTCGTAAACCCTACATATACTACTTTTTTGCCTTTTGATGAAATTCACAACCACGCTCATTATCCTTACCTTGCCACCTTTGTCCTTCCTCCCTACTGGACGGTGGCCATCTTGAACTTTTCCCAGCAGGTCTTTAAATGGTTCCCACATGTCAAATGTGGACTTGCCCGATAACAGCTCTCCCAATTAACACTCCCTAGCCCCTGTCTAATACTGATGTAATTTGCCCTCCCCAATTTAGTACCTTCCCGCAAGTTCCTGACTTATCCTTGTTCATAGCTACCTTAAAATTTCAGGAGTTATGATCACTGTTTCCAAAAGCTCTCCCACTGAAAAGGTCAGTAACCTGGCCAGGCTCATTAGCCAATATAGGATCCAATACAGCCCCTCCTCCAGTTGGGCTATCCACATACTGTTTCAAGAAACCCTTTTGTTTGCACTTAAATCCTCGTTTAATAAATTCTTCAGCAGCATTCAAAGTGAAAACTGTAACTTGGGTTCAGAATGCATTTCTGAAGAAGGGTCTAGGCCCGAAACGTCAGCCTTCCTGCTCCTCTGATGCTGCTTGACCTGCTCTGTTCATCCAGCTCTACACCTTGATATCTCAGGTTCTCCAGCATCTGCAGTTCCTACTATCTTGATAACCTCCGACTTCATTTTCCTGCATATTCCCCATCACCCTCGATTTGCTTACTGATTATTATTATCTAGCTCAGCCCTGAATATTCACAATGATCCAGTCTTGGCAGCTCTTTGCAGTAAAGAATTCCAAAAATTCACTGAACACTGCAAGAAGAAATTTCTCCTCACCTCTTAAGTGGGTGACTACTTGCTTTGAGATTATGTCCTCTGGTCCTACAGTCTCCCAGAAAGGGAAACAACCTTTCCACATTTACCCCGTCCAATCCCCTACTTGTTTCAATTAGGTCTGCTCTCATTCTTCTCAAGTCCGATGGGTGCAAACCCAAACTACTCAACCTGTCCTCATTGGAAAATCCTTCCATATTTGAGAACAAGCTGGTGAACCTTCTCTGACTGCCTTCAATGCCAGTACATCCTTCCTTAGATAAAGGGACCAAAACTGTTCACAGTATTCTAGGTGTGGACTAACTATGGCTTTGTATAGTTTTACTAAAAGCTTGATACTCCATTCCCTTTGAAATAAAGACGAAGGAAGAACTATTCTGGGTGATCTGGCCAATATTTATCCCTCAAACAACATCGAATATATGGTCAATTTCAAAGTTTTCAAAGAATTGACTGCCATGTTCAACAGTGATGAGACCTTAAATAGTTAATCGACCGTGAAGTGTTTCAGGATGGACTGAGGTATTGAAAGGGTCTATATAATTTTTTTAAAATTTGTTTTTGTTTTTTGCTTCGTAGAATTTTTTTTTCCTCTGAAGCATGACATACCAAAATCCTTTCAAATTGTCAGCAGCGCTGTAATGTAGAAAAATGCAGCAGCCAATTTACAGACAGCAATGAAATGATGATCAAATAACATATCTTTAGCGGTGTTGGTCCAAGAATATGTATGATGCAGGCCACTGGGGAAAACTACACCAGAGAGGGCATGGAGAACTATGGCTTAACATCTCATATAAAAGGTGTCACCTCAGACAGTGCAGCATCCCCTCAGTACTGCACTGTAATGTCAGCCTGGATTATGTGTTCAAGTCTCTAGAACAGGACTTGACCCCACCACCTTCTGATTCAGAAGTGAGAGTGTTACCAACTGAGTCATGGCTGACACCTCAAAAAAAAACAGATTTGAAACCAAAAGTGTGACATTTAAAGGAACTGAATGTTTTCATTAAATGGTGTTTACTGTCATAGCAACTGAGTGCAGCAAGCAGCAGCTACTACGAGATACCGCAAGCTTCAAATGATAGTTTTAGACTCACAGGAAGACTTAGAAAAATCACACTAGAGAGCAAGGAGCAAATCCCTAATTTCAGGCAGCCCAGCTTGTATTCCAGAAATAATCTCGCAGAAATCGTATGCAGAGAGTGGTGCATATATAGAATGGGCTGCCAGAGAAAGTGGTTGAGGCAGGTACAATAGCAAGATTTAAAAAACATTTGGATAGATACATGGATGGGAAGGGTTAGAGGGATAAGGGCCAAATACAGGCAATTGGAACTTGCTGAATGGGCACCATGGTCAGTACGGACCAGTTTGGGCCGAAGGACCTGTTTCCATGCTGTATTACTCTCTGACTCTGCTTTATGTCCAAGATCCCCTGTGCTTTACTCAGACTATAAAACTGGAAAAGTGAAATATTCAGCCACTCCATTCAATTAATCAGATTTCTTTCTGTTTAGAGTCACTGTAGCCACTCTCAGATTATCAAAAATAACAATATGCAGAATACATACAGAATTCATCATAAAAGTCATTTCCATCTCCTTTCCCTTGGTCTCTAAAATTAGAGGTATAGTGGCAGATCTTGATCAATCGGGTCAATGGCTGAGGATTGGCAAATGGAGCTTAATTTGGATAATTGAGAGGTATTGCATTTTGATAAAGCAAACAAGGGCAGGACTTATATAGTTATTGGCAGGGCCTTGGGTGATGTTGTAGAACAGAGAGACCTAGGGGTTCAAATTCATAATTCTTTGAAAAATTTGCGTTTATTAAATTGGAGAGAGTTCGGAAAAGATTTACCAGGATGTTGCTGGGAATGAATGGTTTGAGTTATTAAGATAGGCTGGATAGGCTAGGACTCTGTTTGTTGGAGCGTAGGATGTTGAGGGTGACATTACAGATGTTTATAAAATCATGAGGGATATAGGTAGGTGAATAGCAAGGGTCTTTTCTCTCGGGTGGGGGAGTTCAAAACTAGAGGGCACATTTTTACGGTGAGAGGAGAAAGACTTAAAAGGACATGAGGGGCAACTTTTTTAATATAGAATGTAGTTCACATGTGAAATGAACTGCCAGAGGAAGCGGTGGTTGCAAGTACAGTTAAAACATTTAAAAGACATTTGGTTTGAGTACAGGAACAGGAAAGCTTTGGAGGGATATGGGACAAACACGGGCAAGTGGGACCAGTTGCTTTGGGAACATGGTTGGCATGAACTAGTTGGACTGAAGGGTCTGTTTCCATGCTGTGTGACTCTATGAAGTCAATGAAAAGCTAACGTAAGGGTTCTGCAGTAGGAGAACAAGAGATGTTTTAGAAGAGTCAGGATACCATGAGAGACTCAAGTTGTAGCTGCACATAAAGCAACAACTCAGGTGAAGTGATTCTGTCAAAGTAGGGAGTGGGAGGAACAAAATTGTGGTGGGCATTCCCCCACTCTCCCCTCATAGCAACTCAGCCCATTTTCGAAACTCCTGGAAACCAAACCTTGATCCACATCACTGGACAGCCCCCTGTAACCTTTCTATTCCAGACAGCTCAGGCCTGACTGAAATAGCTACAGGATCATCTGGCTGTGCTGATGGCATAAAATAAATTGTCAGCATAGGCTATGTCTTCCACTCAAACCTAACAGATGGTATTCCTCTATGATTGACTAAGATCTTCATAATATATTTGTGCAATTGTGTTTACACATATGCGTGTGTCTGTGGGTCAGTGTATGTGTGTTTATACATGTGTGTGTGTCTTTATGTATGCATGTGTATGTGGCTGTATATCTGTGTGTGTTTTTATGTGTATGTGTGTATGCATGTGTTTGCATAAGTGTTTCTTTGCAAATGTGTGTTTGCATATGTGTGTGTTTGTGTCTGTGCTTTGGATATCTGTGTTTGTATGTGTTTTTATATGTGTGTGTCTGCTTTTGTTATGTATTTATATCTGTCTGTGCAACTGTGTGTTTACATCGGTGTTTGTGCTATGTATATGTGTTTATATCTGTGTCTATGTGTCTGTGAATACATGTGTACTTGTCCATATATGTGTTTGTGTGTGAATGTATGTATTTATATCAGTGTCTGTGTTTGTGTGTTTATATCCGTGCCTGTGTGTTTGTGTATGCGTTTATATCAATGCCTGTGTATCTGTATGTGTTTTTATCTATGCGTGTCTATGCACGTATTCATGTGTTTATATCGATGTCTGTGAATGTCAGTGTGTTTTTATCCATGTGTGTGTTTATATCTGTGTCTGTGTGTGTGTTTATATCTGAGCCTGTGTGTGTGTGTGTGTGTGTGTGTGTGTTTATATCTGTGTTGGTGTGTGTTTTTGTCTGTGTGTATGTGGTTATACCTGTCTGTGCCTATGTGTGTGTGTTGTTGTGTTTCTATCTGTGCCTATGTGTGTGTGTGTGTATATATATGTGTCTGTATGCGTGTTGATGTGTTTCTATCTGTGCCTGTATGTGTATATATCTGTGTTTGTGTGCAGGTTGATGCGTTTCTATCTGTGCCGGTGTGTTAATACCTGTGACTGTGTGCGTGTTGTGTTTCTATCTGTGCCTGTGTGTGTATATATCTATGTCTGTGTGCGTGTTGATGTATTTCTATCTGTGCCTGTGTGTGTATATATCTATGTCTGTGTGCATGTTGATGTGTTTCTATCTGTGCCTGTGTGTATGTATCTGTGTCTGTGTGCGTGTTGATGTGCTTCTATCTGTGCCTGTGTGTGTATATATCTATGTCTGTGTGCGTGTTGATGTGTTTCTATCTGTGCCTGTGTGTGTATATATCTGTGTCTGTGTGCGTGTTGATGTGTTTCTATCTGTGCCTGTGTGCCTGTGTGTATATATCTGTGTCTATGTGCGTGTTGATGTGTGCCTGTGTTATTATTTTTTGGAAATGTTGAAAATGAGGACTCACCTGTCCACACTGATCACACACAGGGTCATGATCGAAGCTGTGCAGCACATTACATCCATGGCGATGAAAACGTTGCAGAAAACTTTACCAAAGAGCCACTCGCCGCCGACCAAGTCGGTGATGATCACGAACGGCATAACGGCCACGGCCACCGAGAGGTCGGCAGCGGCCAGGGACACCACCAGGTAGTTGGAGGGCTGCCGCAGCTTCTTTACGATGCAGACCGAGATGATCACCAGCGAGTTCCCGGCGACGGTCCACACCGTGATGATGGACAGCACGATGCCGATGATAACTTTCTCCACATCGCCGTACAGCAGGATGTCCTCGCCGCAATCCGTGGAGTTGGTGAGGTTGAGCAGCTCGGGGAAGGAGCCGAGGGGCAGCTCCTGCCAGTGGCCGCCCCTGCCCGGCTCGCCCAGGGAGCGGTGGCTGAGTAGGATGGGCTCGGTACGGAGCACCATCCCGTCTGGCTGTGGTGGGGCGCAGCGGCGCCGGTCTGGTCCATGCAGCAAAACTCTCCGAGAGCTCCCGGGGCATTCAGGAGCAATCCCTTAGCCTCACCATCCTTCGGCGGGGTCTCTCAATGTTCCCTGGCGCAGAGAGACAGAGAGAGAGACACACACACACACCACTCCTACAACCCACGTTATAATCACCTCTCCAAGCTCAGCTTTATGCGCTCCCTTCGCAAAACCACAAGCGACCAGGAGACCACCACATCCCCTGCTGGGCGTCCAGACAGAAGGTGAATTCATCCGATATTTCAACACCAACTCCAGAGCTCCGCGCTACCTCGTTATATTATAGAAATGACAGCAAGCAGCTGCCTCTTGAAGTGTTCCGGCCACAAGTAAAACAGCAGCATCAACTAAAATGCTAACTCCTAAACCCCTCCCACACCTCCCCCCCCCCCCCACCCCCAACACACACACACACAAAAAGAACCCCACAAACACAGTGAAAAGTTGCCAGGCTGCTTTCAAATGATTTCCATTTGTCCTGACTTCTCCAACTCGTCTCCCTAGATTTATTGAGGGAAAAGTCGGACACACCACCCTCATACGATGAGACGGGGCTTTGGGTAAATAAGGTCTAAATCATAGACCAGCCCCCATACCAACCATACACCACCCCCCCCCCCCCCCCCCCCAACATTTCCTTCGAGCAGCCTCTTGGGGCAAAGGGTCTCATTCGGAATCTGTACCCTCCCCATTTCTATATTGCACTCTTATTTTCTGGGACGCATTGGAGGAATTTCGTGGACAGTCGTTGCATTTAGCGAACGCACGGGAAACTTGGCGTTCCTCTCGCTTTAACAATGTCAACACCTTTACGCGAAAAAGGTACAGGGTCGCTGAGGGGACGTTTATATTAAGAAAAAGCCCAGAGGCCAGCAATCTGTCAGTGTGTCTCACAGACCCATCCCAAATTAGGGGGAATGGAGAAAACGGAAACTCAAATATTAACCTCCACCCGCCACCCCCACCACGAACGCCGTGTAGGGCAGATAAAACGTCTACTTTATTTTCAAACTTTTTTTTATAAAGCCAGCGGCAGAAAATAAATTCGATTTCCCGAAACGTCAGCTTTCCTGCTCCTCTGATGCTGCCTGGCCTGCTGTGTTCATCCAGCTCCACACTGTGTGTGTTATCTCTGACTCCAGCATCGGCAGTTCTTGCTGTCTCGTTTTTGTTCACGACTGCCTCTTTTTAAAGAAGTAAAAATTGCGGGTGTTTCACCCCCGACCTAAATATAAGTCGTGAACGGGTTTGCTTCCCCCTTCCCCGCACCCAGCAGACTGCTTAAATACCCAACAAATTGCGACACTCACTCGGGAGTGCTTTCCACCAGTTCCTTCGCTGGATGCCTCGCTGCACCGCGAATTCAACGCCACCTCGTCCCCGCTGTTTCTAAATCTCCACTTGCTTCTTTCCTGGCCGTCTCCTACTGCCGGGAAATAATGTGGAGGCTTACCCCCTGCCTACAGATGTCTTTGAGGGGTTCCAGGGGAAATCTGATGACTGCGACTGGTCATTAGAGAATGAGTTGAACGCTCCCCACTTAAGATGCGGATTTATCCATTGACAGACTTTAGACCCACGGAGCTGCTGTACTTCACTGCATGGCCCTTTGGCCCACACTGTCAGTGCCCACCAGGATGCCATTCTAAACTAATCCCATCTGCCTGTACATGGTCTATATCGCTCTATCCCCTGCCTGTTTATGTGTCTATCTACATGCTTCTTAAATATTGATACTGCATCTGTTTCTATCACCTCCCACTGGCAGTGTGCTCCAGGTACCTACCACCCTCTGTGTAAAACAAAATACTTACCTTGTACATCTCCTTTAAATCATGGAATCCTTACAGTGTGGAAGCAGGCCATTCATCCCATCAAGTCCACACCAACCCTCCAATGAGCACTAAATAAAAACCGAAAGAACTGCGGATGCTGTGAATCAGGAACAAAATCAAAGTTGCTGGAAAAGCTCAGCAGGTCTGGCAGCATCTGTGAAGGAAAAAACACAGTTAACGTTTCGAGTCCAGTGATGAGGAAGGGTCACCGGAAAAAAAGAGTTAACGTTTCAGGTCCCGTGACCCTTCCTCAGAACTGAGGCTCTGAAGTTACGTTAACTCTGTTTTGTTCTTTCACAGATGCTGCCAGACCTGCTGAGCTTTTCCAGCAACTTCTGTTTTTGTTTCCTTCAAAGAGCATCCCACCTAGACCCACCCCATCCCTGTAACCCCACATTTCCCATGGCCAATCCACCCTAACCTGCACATCTTTGGACTGTGGGAGGAAACCAGAGCACTTGCAAGAAACACACACAGACATGGGGAGAACATTGCAAACGCCATACAGTCGTCCGAGGCTGGACTCATAAGACCATAACAAGAACATAAGAACTAGGAGCAGGAGTAGGCCATCCGGCCCCTCTAGCCTGACCCGCCATTTATAAGATCATGGCTGATCTTTTTGAGACTCAGCTCCACTTACCCGCCCACTCACTATAACCCTTAATTCCTTTGTTGTTCAAAAATTTATCTAGCCTTGCCTTAAAAACATTCAGCGAGGTAGCTTCAACCGCTTCACTGGGCAGGGAATTCCACAGATTCACAACCCTTTGGGTGAAGAAGTTCCTCCTGACCTCAGTCCTACATCTGCTTCCCTTTATTTTGAGGCGATGCCCGATGCCCTAGTTTCACCTGCTAGCGGAAACAACCTCCCTGCCTCCACCTTATCTATTCCCTTCATAATCTTATATGTTTCTATAAGATCTCTCCTCATTCTTCTGAATTCCAATGAGTATAATCCCAGCCTACTCAGTCTCTCCTCATAATCCAACCCTCTCAACTCTGGAATCAAGTGGGTGAATCTCCTCTGCACCCTCTCCAGTGCTAGTATATCTCTTCTCAAGTAAGGAGACCAAAACTGCACACAGTACTCCAGGTGTGGCCTCACCAGGACCCTATAGAGCTGCAGCATAGCCCCCCTGTTTTTAAACTCCATCCCTCTAGCAATGGCAGACAAAATTCCATTTACCTTTTTAATTACCTGCTGCACCTGCAATCCTACTTTTAGCGATTCATGCACAAGGACACCCAAGTCCCTCTGCACAGCAGCGTGCTGCAATTTTTTGCCATTTAAAACATAGTCCTACCAAAATGGATGACCTCACACTTATCAACATTGTACTCCATCTACGAGACCTTTGCCCACTCACTTAGACTATCTATATCCCTCTGCAGACTTTCAGTGTCTGCTGCACACTTTGCTCTACCACTCACCTTAGTGTCATCTGCAAATTTTGACACACCACACTTAGTCCCCAACTCCAAATCATCTATGTAAATTGTAAACAATTGCAGTCCCAACACTGATCCCTGAGGCACATCACTAGCCACTGACCGCCAACCAGAAAAATACCCATTTACCCCTACTCTTTGCTTTCTACTGGTCAACCAATCCTCTACCTATGCCAATACATTACCTGTAATATCATTAGAAACTGGCTGGTGATTTTAACCTGAGGCTCACCATATCTCAGGCAATGGACAAGGTTGAGAAAGCAAGACCATCATGATAACCTCAGCTGGTGTGGCTGGTTGGTATCTGTCTGCATCAGACACCAGCCAGCTATCTAACTGGAACTAACTAACTCCCATCAAGGGAGACAGGGAATAACCATTGTGATTAAAAAAAAAGATAATACTGGACAATTACAATGTCTAAAAGATATATGGATAAGTACATGAATAGGAAAGGTTTGGAGGGATATGGGCCAGGAGCAGGCAGATGAGACTAGAGATAACAAGGTGTAGAGCAGGATGAACACAGCAGGCCAAGCAGCATCATAGGAGCAGGAAGGCTGATGTTTCGGGCCTAGACCCTTCATCAGAAAATGAGACTAGTTTAGTTTAGGACTATGTTCGGCATAGACTTGCTGGATTGAAGGTCTGTTTCCGTTCTGTATGGCTCTGCGACTCTATAACTCTAAGTTAAAGAAAAAGGTCCCTTTATCTAATGTGTTGCTCGTTGCTGTTTGGGTAGGAAAAAGAATTGGGTTATATTTACCTGTATGCTTTCATAGGATATGGAGATCATTTGTTGCCCATCTCTAATTTCCCTTGAACTGAGTGATTCGCTGGACCAATTCAGAGGCCAGTTAAGAGTCAGTCACACGTTATGGGTTTGGGGTCAAATAGTATAAAATCATAGAATCCCTTCAGTGCAGAAAGAGGCCATTTGGCCCATCGAGTCTGCACTGACCCTCTGAAGAGCATCCCACCCATACTTAGTCCCCTACCCTATCCCACATTTATATTGGCTAATCCACCTAATCTGCATATCCCTGGGCACTATGGGGCAATTTCCCATGGCCAATCCACCTAATTTGCACATCTTTGGACTGTGGGAGGAAACCAAAGCACAGAGCAGAAAACCACATAGACACGGAGAATGTGTAAACTCCACACAGACAGATACCCGGGGCAGCAATCAAACCTAGGTCCCTAGTGCTGTGAGCCAGCAATGCTAGCTACTGAGCCATCATGCTGCCTCTTGGTAGGCCAGAGCAGCTAAAGACAGCAGATTTCCTTCCTTAAAGGACATTAATGAGCCAGGTGGATTTTTTTTAACAACAATTGATTTTGTCATCATTACTTAAGCAAACTTTGAATTCCAGATTTTTATTAACATTGAACATAGAACAGTACAGCACAGCACAGGCCCTTCGGCCCACAATGTTGTGCCAACCTATTATCCTACTAAGATCAAATTACCCTGCATACCCTACATTTTACTATCCTCCATGTGCCTATCCAAGAGTCGCTTAAAGGTCTCTAAAGTATCTGACTCCACTACCACAGCCGGCAGCGCATTCCACACGCCCGCCACTCTCTGTGTGAAGAACCCACCTCTGACATCTCCCCTATACCTTCCTCCAATCACCTTAAAAT